ACCTTCCGATTGCGGCACATAATTTTGAACTAAAACCTTCCTTGATCAGTATGGTGCAGCAAAACTAATTTGTCGGTCTACCTTGAAAAATCCTAATCTTCATCTTTCTATTTTTGTTGACAATTATGGTACCAGTAAGACAAATAATGTTGATCAAAACGGTAAGGAAAATAATGTTGATCAAAACTCCATCTACCTTTGCCTATTTCCCTTTTCTTTAAGAGGTCGTGCGCGAGCTTGGCTCTAGTCCTTGTTCGTCAATTCTATTACTTTATGGATCCAATTGAAAGCGGCCTTTCTAGTGCGGTACTTTGCCTCAAGAAAAACGACCCAAGTTAGGAATGAGATCAACAATTTTAGGCAAGAAGAAGGATAATCTTTATTTGATGCTTAGGAGCGTTATAAAGATTTTATAAGAATTTTCCCTTTCCACGGGCTTGAGAAGTGGATGATAATCCATACTTTTTATAATGATCTCCTTTATTCCACAAGGATGATCTTAGATACAGATTCTGGCGGATCCCTCATGAATAGTCCTCAAGATGTATCCTATAATTTGATAGAGGAGATGACCGAAAACCACCACTCATGGGGAAGTGTGCGACAAAGCGATGTAAAGTCTACTCCTAAAACCGGTGGTATGTATGATGTTAATGTGTTTGATCACATGAACGCTAATGTGGATGCTCTTTACTAAAAGGTAGATAGCCTAAGCACGAAACCTTCCACACCTACTATTCCAGCCCCTAATGCTTTGGTTTCCCCCGCCACACTCTATTGTGAGATATGTAGAGTTAATGGGCATACTGATACAAATTATCAAATGATCTTCACGAGAGGATCCAACCAAGAGAATGCCAACTTTGTGAACAGCAACCAAAGGAACAACCCTTATTCTAACACCTATAATTCGGGGTGGCGTGATCATCCCAATTTCTCTTCTAGGAATGACAACCCCTAACAAGCCATGGGACCTCCGGGTTTCCAAAATGCTACACAACCCGAGCCTTAGAAGTCCAACCTAGAATTTTTTAATGGAGAATTTCATTTTGACACAAACTCGTCAAAATGATGAGTTTAGAAACCAAAACCTCCTCACCAATGAGGCACTTAGGCAATTGAACACTAAGGTTGATAATGTTGTCACACACACCAAGATGTTGGGGACTCAAATCTCCCAAGTGGCGCAACAACAAGTCGCTTCTTCCATCCCACCCGAATCATTTCTGGGGCAGCCCGAGCAAAACCCTAAAGAAAATTTGAATGTCGTAACAACCCGTAGTGGTAAGTAGGTGGGTAGTTCTAGTTCTAAAGAGATATAGGTTGAATTTAGTGTGCCAACACCATCCGAAAAAGAGGTAAGTTAATAGGTTGAGAAGGAAACACCATATGTTGCTCCTCCTCCCTACAAACATATTGTTCCTTTCCCAAAAAGGCTTGTGAAAGTCAAGGTGGAAGCCCAATTCAAAAAGTTTGTGGAACTTCTCAAGAAGATCCACCTCAAAGTACCTTTCACTAAGGTGCTAACCCAAATTCCCTCTTGTTCCAAGTTCTTAAAAGAGATCCTTTCGAATAAAAGAAAGCTAAGGGACCATGAAACTGTGGCCATGACCATTATAGTTTCGTTATCCAAAATATGGTTTTCCTTAAGCTCAAAGATCCGGGAAATTTCTCTATGTGATTGGGCTAGTGTTAGCCTAATGCCTTTGTTTGTGTGTAAGAAGTTGGATATAAGAGACATGAAACCTACCAATGTATCCCATAGGCATGTTAGAAAATGTCCCGGTGAGAGTGGGGGAGTATTATGTGTCGCTGGACTTTGTGATAATGGACACCGATGAGGATTGTCAAATCCCGATAATTTTATAAAGACCTTTCTTAGCTACGTAGGGGGCATCATAGATGTTAAGAGAGGGAAGTTGACCTTTGAGGCAGGTGATGAAAAATTGAGTTTATTTTGGAAAAACTATTGAAGAACCCTTCTTTAAGAGTCTCTAAGTGTTTGGTTGATTTGTTAAATAGTTGTGTTCAAGAGAACATATTGGACCCTCCTCCGACTGCTAAGTTGGAGGAGAGTTCAGTTGATGTTACTAAAGTTGAGAAAGTTGATACCCAAGCTAATGGCTAGAAGAAGCCTTGGGGGAAAGTTTTGTTCCCATTAACCAAGCCAAAGATGTGTCTTGTAAGAAAGATGGTAAACCTAAGGATAATAAGGCCCATCTAAGACCAAATAAGAATGGGTCTAAAGAGAAGAAGAAAGTAAAATAGAAAGTCAGTGAAAAACCGGACCAAAAGTATGAGCCTCCTCATAGGAGGAAGAGAAAAGACGAAGGTAGTATAGCATGAATGTCTAAAGTGAATTGGGTCCCTTCAAAGGCTAAGGGACGAGTTAATGATTCCAATTTGAAGGAGGCACCCTCTTGAGTTGAGGGTGTAGATGGTCAGTTTTACGACGTTAAATAAAGCGCTTTGTGGGAGGCAACCCACGTTTCTTCCGTACTTACGTTTTCTTTTTGTTGTTTCTTTTTAGCAGGAACCTTGATAGTTTAACCTGTGTTACGCTTAAACATTGAGAACAATGTTTGATTCAAGTTTGGGGGGTATCTATTTATTTTCTTGCATTTTTCTTTATTTTTATGGCATTTACTTCTTGCAATTTTATGTTTTTGTTTCTCCCTAGTTTTTTATAATTTTCTAGTTTGATTGATGCATTAAGACCATCTTTTTGTAGTTCTTTCCAATACGAAGACCATTAATTTTTTTGATGACAAACTTAGGCCATGGGGAAGATGAGAAAGTATTTGAAGTCTAAGGGAAGAGAGGCTAGGACTATGGGCATTAGAAAACTTTGAAAACTTAAGTATGACCCGAACACCCTAGATCCCCTGGAGTAAGGACACCAGTCCAATGTGTAGATTTATGCCATAGTACTTGGCATTGAGAAGTAATTCTCGATTAATTTATATTGATGGTCTGACATAATTTAAGACTTGCATGTATGTATGAGAACATACCTATTATATTTGGTTGACAATACCATTTTTTTGGACAAGAGTGTCATTTATGTGGATGCCCTCTATCTACGATACATTGAGGACTTTGAGTGGATCCATGAGTACAACTAGTAGGCCACTTGTTTGGTCTATTCGTACTCTAAATTATATGAAATTTGTGGGTGGAAAATGAAGCAGGTGATAGGCAGTATCACACTTTTGCATTTGCATTTGCCACGCTTGGAGGGAACCAAACGCCAGAATCGTTTCAAGTGTATCTTGATTGTTTAGTAGTAGAGGATATGAAATTTAACACCTGTGTTGATCACCGTGAAACGCGACCATTTGACAACATAATCTTATACTCGGGATGGTTGACTTGCGGATCACGTCTGATATTTTCTCATTTGCCTGAGCGCATCATGCGGTAGTTCGGCTACACCCAAACTATTCTCAAATACCCTATTGTCTTTGCTCCTCCCGCTATGACATGTAGAGATATAGATGTCATGTTTGATGATTATCTTAGTTATCTGGTAAGGAGGAGGCATGAAGTACCATGGCTGAGAGTGACTCGAGCTATGTAGAGAGGTACATCAAGTGATTCTTCAAGGTGTCACATCCATATAATGTACAGGCTGCTCCACGAGATCTACAAAGTCCAGCTTATCAGAAGATATTAGAGGAAAAGCATACTAGGTTAGATCATGCTCATGATGTGTTGCCTAGATGTCGTCGTATTGTGGAGATTGTGCAGACAATTATTGATAGAGGTATCTTTCTTGATGATCCTGAAGTGAGGGGGATCATAGATGCCATTATGAGAGAGGCACGAGAGACACTGATGTATTGGAGACAACGTCGAAGCACAGAGGGGATAGGAGATTGAGGAGATTGAGGAGCTCGAGTCTGCCATACGTAGTAATTAATAGTGTTTATATTTTGGATTTATGTTCGATTGTATTTTATTACTTATTTGAACTTCATGGTATGTTTCAACTTTATTGTGTATGTTAAGATGACTTATTTTGACTCTGAATTTATACGTAATTTTTTTCATATCAATTGTATGGTTTAATGTTTATCACATAACTGAGGCCTTAATATTTATAAATAGTCATTTTCATCCGAGTAACCTTAAAAACTAACTTAACTTGCATTATTTTTACTAGTTACGGAGATGCATCTATATAAACCCTAACTAAAGAAAGATGTATTTCCAAATCAATAAATGTTTATAATAAGCCTTTAAGAGAGTGATACATAAGTTGTGTTTTGATATATTTCAAAAATGCATCTCTGAATCCGTGTTTACAAAATATGTTAGTGTGGCTCAATGGAATGCATGAGACGTGTTTTGAAATATTTCGGATATACATCTCCGAATTCGTGTTTAAAAAATATGTTAGTGTGATTCAATGGAATACATGGGGCGTGTTCATGTGTTCTGACATAAAACAAATGAGCTTTCGAAAATACATCTTTAAAATTTGAGGGACATTTTAAATTTTCTATAGTGTTTTTCCACTGGTATAAAAAATTCCATATGTATGATTGAGATTGAAATAAGCCAAGAAATAGTTAAGATTAAAAAATGAGAGCACCAAATATTAGGATTAGGATTAGGATGCTAAAGTTGTTAAACTATAAAATTCAACACTAAAGAGAGAGAAAGTTATCTAATAACAAAGACAATTTTCATTTTTTTTATCTCTAATGTTTCAATGAGACTATATTATATATAATATTATTAATAAATAAGAAAATAAAACACTTAAGCTAAAAAAACCCAATTAAATTAAATAAAATTAAAGTCCAATTTCATTCTCTATGGATATATGAGGAAATGAGCTATACGATCAAATGGTATACTAAGTAACATCCCAAAAAATTGTAGGCTAGAGTAACAAGTTTATTTCATACACCTCTTCTTTGTTCAAACATACTTATAAGCTAGTTCAATAACTAAAAGTAATTTATGATATTATCGGTGAAGGAATCGTGACATCAAGTGAGTTTACGCCAAAGTCCACCCTTGGAAGCAGTTAAGCACTTCACCCGGGGGAAAACAAAACCTGTCTTTGGAGGTCTTCCATCAATAAGAGAATTTTCATATATGTCTTTACACTCTTGTATGACCTGATTAACAAGAATAAAAGTGACAGTTCCAAATTCAATAACCTTACTTTCTTTAGAAAAGAGCTTTCAGTTCATGATCAAGCGAAATGAACTCTAAATTTTATTTACCTCCTTGGCATCCTTCCGAGGAATTCCTTCTCGTAGACCAACAAGTTTCTCAACAACTTCAGGCTACAATGACATCAAAACACATTCATCCACCAGGTCAACTCAAAGTACATATCACCATTCACTTTTAAATCATAAAAAAAATTATTTAAATCATATTGGCCACTAGTCTTACCGGGCAGTCAGGTTGATGTTCAAGTATATTTGTATAGATGAGTGTGAAGGTATCGAGGCTCTCTGCTGAAGCAAGTTCCCTCAAGTCGCTAAGTACGCTCACTCTGTTTTCAACTTTCTAATCCAGGATGTTAAGGAAATTAGAGTAAGTAACTTTGAAGCCCAAGGTTAACATCTAGTAACATAATGCTTTGAGACTCGCATAATATTCGCGGTGATTAGAGGACAACAGTGACAAAATGTCTAAACGAGAACTTACAGAAACACTGATATGTTCCCTAAAAAAGTCCATGATGACCTCCTCATCTAGCCTCATCCGTTCAATAGTTTCCTCCTTGATGTAGTTTTTCTGCAATTATAATTACAAGGGAGACATTCAATTTAGTCAAATGAACAGGAAGCTTTTATGGAAGAAAATATGCATAATTTTGGCTTAAATAAGAACTGGCTTTTTTTTTACTGAAAGCATAACCTGTGTTAAAAGACGGTCAACATAAACAACCACCGTTTCCTCTAGGCAAGCTTCAACAAACCTCCTAAAAGACCTTTCTTCAATGTACCTTGAATAAAAGGGAAGTTAAAACGATTAAATTTTCATAATAATCAAAAAGGGATCAAATTACATCAAAAGATTTGCACACATTTTCAACCCTCAATGTTAATTACATTTTGGTTATAATATGTTAACTTTAACCTTTAATGTGATTCTGGAAAAATACAGTTTACCGTTGAAAATTGTTCCCTCACTCAAACTTTGTGATTACATCACAATCATATTTCTTCTTATTTTATCTAAATCTCATAATCATATTTGTTCTTAGACCATAGAGCTTGGTTTCATCCTCTGTGACCTGGCATGTCCCTATTCTGCTGAAGAGTTCCTAAGTTTGAGAATGTATTAATAGTCATACTTCAAAATTTATTTTACTGAACCCACTTTTTGGTAGAACTGGTTTCCACCTTCTTCTGTGGTGACATTCTTTCTTTCAACGTCTTTTCAACTTTCCCAATCACCTCAAATGCCATTGTCACCATCCACCTCTTTTCTGATCGCCTTTCTGCAAAGGAACCCCACCATGATGATCACCTCCTCCAGATTAGTCATCCCCAAAAGCTCACTGCCAACAATCTCCCCATGCGCCTCCACACACAGCTTCAAGTTTCTGCATACAAATCCTATATCAATCAGTATGCCCACATGACGGACACTCTTCACGACAAAGTGACTGCCTCTTTCAACAGTGCTAGCTCAGTCAATTGCGATCCCAATCGGCCAATACAACTGCTCCGTTGTAGCAAGCATTGTTTCAAGAACCGTTTCGTCATTGCTTTTAGTATTCTGGTTTTTGCTTGCATACAAGGGACTTTGGTTTATGTTTTCAAACATGTTCCATCCCGTTTGTTGCCTGCATCTTCATCTTACTAATATTTTTTGGGATTATGAATCTTTGCTGTTTCTGCTTCTACATTCTGTGTTGGATTTTCCTTTGGTGTTTGTCATGCAATTATTTGCCACAAAGTTACTCTCAGGCTAATGATAATTCAAGTTATCTGGAAGTGCTAGAGTATGTGAAATATCTTAGAAATATTTTGATATTATGTTAGAGTATATTAGTTTATCTCTTAGAATTAGTTTCTAATATTAGAGTAACTTAGTTGATCCCCTATAAATATAAATATATATATATATATATATATATATATATATATATATATATATATATATATATATATATATATATATATATATATATATATATATATATTAGGGATTTAGTCTTTTGTATTAGGTTACAATCTAGTTTTTATACCAGTTTTCTGTTCTTTAGTTTGTGTTGATAGTTGTATATATTTAGAATAGAATATTCCATAGCATATTCCATAAATATAAGGTAGTATATTTCTTATGTAGTACTATTCAGTCACACCGTTTACCTAAATGTCTCGTTCTCTCGTATTTAAACAGTTCTAATCAGTTCTATCAAATGGTGTAAGAGCTCCCAGGAGCCCATCAATGTTAAATCAGTGAATAGAAAAACAAAATCTTGAGGAATTGAGGTTCATGCATAAATGTTTGAGGTTGGTACACGAAGGAGCAATGACTATTGTGTGATTTGCTGTCTCCCCTGCTCTCTTCTTGGCATGGGTTTACTGGTTCTGTGTGTTGCCTTGTCCGCTCTTAATTCCAGTAGGTGTTGAGAATCATATGCTTCCTGTTTTTTACTGGTCTAACCCAAATTCTAAGATGAAGCTTTCAGGATTACCAGTTTCATCATATATATGACAGCAAAAAAACTGACAGAATATGGCACGTGTGGAAAAACTAAGCAAAATAAATTACTGATAAGAAATTCTACTCACATTTTTACATCAGTAAAATAATCGCCAAATGTTGCAACCAAGTATTCAGTAACCTGCCCCTCACTCCATTCTGATAAATGCAAAGCAAGTGAAAAAAATTACTGAGATAAGAAAATCCACCCACTCTTATAAAATTAGTAAAAATAACTGTCAAATCCACCCACTCTTATAATGTGTAAAATATAAAGCATGTGGTTGATTAGATATAAAAGAAAACAATAAATTTAGAGTTATTATATTGAACATTAGCAATAGAACAGGGTAATGCTGGATAGCTAATAGAGTTTTATAGTACAGCTCAGCATAACTAACTCTAACAGTTAGTTATGACTGATAATAGCTTTTAGTCTAAATGCTGCCAGGTCAGCATTACTTAAAATATTCTAATATATTGCTTATACTCTAATAATAGCAAGGTACAATGAATCAAAATGCCCAATTACTTAGTTGAAACCATAAGGAACTAGAAACAATAATCAAAATTTATCAAATAAACGTGTAACAATAGTGCATAGCCAATTATATCGTAATGCTTCAGGAAATGCATTTTTTATTAAATTAGAAGAATTCAATATAGCTCAAGAATGGAGTTTGACAATAAGGATCCTCACCCTTGAAAAAACTATTAGCATAAACACACATAGGAAAGCTAGGTGATGGTGAAAATTTGATGTACCTTTATGGTATAGCTTGACCAGCAACTCCTGGACACCAGGATCTTCAAATATTACACTTACTGTTTGATGCACAGCTTCCTATCACCAAGAAGAATATTGAAATTACCAGAACACAATCTTTTACAAAGTTACACGCAACATATATTCATCAAAAAGACAAATGCAATGAACAAACATAATTCTAAAATGAAGCGGAAATAACGCATTATCTAAACAAAATATGCACATGGTGTTAGTGAATGAACTGACATACGAGCATAACAGACAGGCATGCTAGTACTTTCCAGCAAAAATGACCGTCAAGTAGTTTATTTTAGATCAATACTTTTTGTACCCTTTTTGGAGAATGAATCCATGAACCATGTTCATATGCGATATAAGAAACAATATGGTAATCATTAAGCAAATATTGATTGACTGTCTGATTAACAACAATGGAAAAAAATGGGCACCAGGAAAATAGAGCACATTAGCAAATCAATTAGCCTGTCAGAGGTTATCGACATGCAACAATTAGCTTCCTAAAGATCTAAATAAGTTGGTATGGAAGGTAAACAATGACCTTTAAATGAGGGAGAGAACTGCTAAATATCAAAATATCAAAATATCTAAAGTCAAGTTTAAATTTCTTTTCAGTCATCTATGCTACAATTTAGTCAAATTTTGTAGGCAATGTACAACCTACAGTGTAGTGAAAATCTTATCTAATCTATCTAAGGAAAATATGGAAAAACACATCAAGTAATAAATTAATTAAGTCAACAAGTAGGATTTTCGCATTCTTTCATCATACCTTAGCAACCTCGAGAAACCCCTTACAAGTATCTTCAAAATTAACCTGCAAAGAAACAGAAAATGTCTATAAAGTAAATATAAAAAATGGTTTTGTTAAATCACAAAGGACTGGTGTTCTCTTGCTACAAGGATCACAAGGAGCTGATGGACAATACAAGTTTCAATGTGAATGACAGAGCCCAACTAATAAGGCATAGCAGTGGGCCCAAAGTTGGGATAGTCTATTCTAGGAAAAATAAATAAGAAACTATAGATTTAATAATCTGTTTCTATGAAGTATAGTTTTATCTGTTACTAATTTATTCTATGTTTCGGAATTCTGATTATCCAGGATGTTTGTTATTCCTGTTTATTTTATTAGTATAAGAGAGAGAATAGGGAATTTGAGAGCAGATATAGAGTTGAATTCATGTGTTCATTGTAAATGAATTGCGATTGTATACATTTGATGACATCAACTAAATATAGTTGTGCCTATCCTACACCAACTCTGAGTTGGTTACCACTGTCATACTTAACATTTTACACATCAGCTAACTACAACAAGCCTTAACTTTTTGGCTGACTGCTTATATCCATATTTTCACAAGTAAGGCTGGTTAAGCCTGGTCTTGTTTTTTTAAACCATTGGATATCAATTTTTTATTACTTTTAGATGGTTTTCAATATACACCTCATAATTTCTCCCTTCTTACCACCACCCTTTCTGTCTCACCCCCCACCCCTGATGCCCCTCGCCTCCACCACACTTCATGCCCCACCACCTCTCCGCCCTTACCCATCCACCTCTTGCCCTTTCCCCCTCCATCGGAGTTCTAGCCATAAAAATTCAGGATTTTGTTTCCACTTCACTACCATTGTGGTTTCAGCAATAGAATTATGTGAGTTTCACTTAAATGCAATAACAAAATAAATAAAATGTCAACAAAGCAATGTTGGCAAAAGTAATGAAACAAGGAAAAACAACAAACAAAACCTCCAAACCTGCTCTGCATAGTTCTGTGGAAGAGCTTCTATGGTGCTATTACTTAGCTCCATTGCAAGATCATAGCAGCGCAAATTATTGTTTATCTAAATAAACATTAAATTGATGTTATATCAACAGAAAGTACCATTTGGAAACAATTGTGTTAAAATTATAAGCCTAACACTAATATAAAAAAATACACTAACCATAGCACATAAAGGTTCCAGACCAATTTCAGAAGCTGGTTCTTGAAGTCTCTTCTTTTCAGCTGCTTGAAAATCAATCATCACCTGTAAAATAACAGTGTCATCATTATGATGCACATAAAAATGCACTAACCATAGCACATAAAAGTGCACTAACCATAGCACATAAAACTATGATGCACATTCGTTACTCTTAGAATTTGAGGTTACGGCCAAACTCATCCAACAAAACCAGCTCGTAAGGTCAGGATTGTCCAAGCATTTATATGCATTACAGACCTTATCTTGATAGAGTACATCCAAGTCATACTGAGTTCTCTAGTTAGAGAATAAGAAAATCAATTTAAATCTAATTCGGTTTCTAGGTTCTCAATAGCTCTGAAACTCTATTTTTCTAGGAGATGTAGGGGCTACACCTCCCCATCTCAACCCTGCACAGTATAGGGTTGTACCAATGCAGTGGAGGCAAAAGAATTGGTCGAATAGCTGACCCCATTAGTGGCCGCAGTTGTAGTTGATTTCAAAAACGTCAACTCACCTCCATGCCCAATGGTCCTTGAGCATGGATGATGCGCTCAGCCTGACAACGGATCTAGGATAGATTCTAATACCATCTCAGAATTCAGGTTTAGCCCTAACTCAACCCCACTGAGCCAACTTGCAAGTGAGAACTGTCCAAGCATTATAAGCACTACAAATGTCAAATCTCTCCGTGATCTAGGACAAAACCAACCCTCTGAACAGAACGCTAAGGCTTTGTTTGGGAGTTTGGAGGGTAAGGGAGGGGAGGGCTTTGAAAAAAAGGAAGGATAGAGTGGGAAAAATTGAAGGAGTTTGGTTGGGAGGATTTTGGAGGGTTTGTTTTTATTCATAACACAAAATTCCCCTAATTTGGGAGAACTTAAAATTTGTATTGGAGAAGGATTTTGGAGGGCTTACGTACATTTTTTCAAATATATTTTATGTTGTTATAATATTCTAAAAATTAAAAATATAGTAATGATAAACCTCCATTTATCATTCTATACAAAAGCACAATTTCAAAAAATGTTAAACTTTTTCTATTTATTTTTACAAATCCCCTCCCCTCCAAACTCCCCAACAAAGCCTAAAGAAGTTGTATCGTTGCAATGAAGATAAAAGGAAGTGGCTCAATAAAAGACCACAGAGGTGGCAGCAAACAAGGGCAGATTTTCCAACTGTAACACTACATCTATATCTAATCTGACATTACCTGAATGGTTGCCAAGGAAATTCGGTATAACATGACATCAGTGCTATTATCTCGGACAATTTGAACTTGCTCTCCAAGTATCCTGAATAGATCAACAGCAGCTGGGGTGTATAGCTTCCCATCTTCAGTTTTCTTTGGGGGCTGTGTTTTATCTGCTTCCAGAATATTCAAATACCATTTCTAGAAAACAATAAGAACAAAGCTTAAGGAGATAAAGAAATCATCCAACAAACATCATAGATTACCAAAGAAAAATGAATAAACAAGAAAGCCAAGATTACCCTTGTTGTAGCTTGCATTCGCTCAACATAAGAATTCATAAGAGGATCCATTGCACCACTCTCAGAGCATACTTGGGCCAAAGACTCGTCAACACCAAGGCCAATTAGGTTATCTTGGTATTCAACCACCCAACCAGTTACCTACTAGAAACAAAAAAATAAGTATATTTTCACATAAAAGTTCAGGAGGAGAAAAAGAAAATAGAGGTGAAAAGAGAAATGGTTACAATGAAATCTACAAGTAGCAAGGAACTATACCAAAGTACAGTAATGAAATAGAAAAAGTAAAGCTCATTATATTACAATGATAAATGTATTTAAAAAATGGTAGATTCAGCCCAAAGATGGTATTGTAAAGACAGAAGGATATAAATGGAACAGTAAGGGAAAACGAATTAGTTATTTTGATCAGTTAAAATTTAAAAAGGTAGTTAATTAGAGGGGGTAGTGAGATTTATTAATAGGAGGAAGTAAAGCTGTGGAGGGAAACCCTTTTTAAGCAAGAAACCCTTGGAAGAGAGATATTTTATGTCATCTGTTCATTTTCAGCCAACAAATATTTTCTTTTACTTTTCTTATTTCTATTGTCAGTTCCGAATACATGACAGTATCACACCATTGTCTGTAATATGAGTGAATTGGAAAGCTAGTAAATTGTTCCCAAATGCTTAGAAAAAACATGGTTGGATGACCATTATATAAAGAGAATATGACATTCCAAGCATGTGAGGAATAGTAAATTGTACATAAATAAAACTACAGTGAAATACCTTTAATATCTCGATATTTGTTAATCCATTGGCCTTGTCACTAAGCAACCTTAGCATCTGAATAAACCTCTCAGTGTACAAATTTACCATTAGTTGGAATATTTCATATCTGGCCGAATCGAAAAAACAGAATTAGAACAAAAGAATATGTACATAAAGAAGCCTCATACAAGCAAAAGCTTCCTTAGATTAAGTGAAATGTATTCAGACAGAATCAAGAGAGCAGCAAAAAGAAAAGTAGAAGACCTCTAGTAGCAAAATTCTACGAGTACTTGTTGCCTAAGTTCACTGGTTGATAAATTGATTTTTTTTTTTGGGTTTATTTTTTTAATATGGGTCTCTTTTTTATCACATGACAAAAACATAGATTCCAATTTTAGGGGTAGAGTAAAAAGAAAAGTGGCCTTTGCTTAACCAATTAGCAACTTGTAGTTCATGAATCAAATATGAATTATACAAGAGTTCTATTAGAGTTCAATTATTAGCATAGCAGTCTATGATTAGTTTATGACAGAGTACATAATAAAATATTCTATATCTATGGTAGCATCTCCTCTATTTTCCCTTTCTCTCTTTAAAGCACTCTTGTACATTAACAAAATTTACTAACTCCCAAAAATAATTAAATAGACATAAAGAATATTAATAATGTAAAACTATTCATTATACTAACACAACAAATATCACACCTAAAAAGAAAAGAAATTATACAGGGGAGAAAACCAAATCTCATAGTGAGATTATTCATTAGCACTTGACAGAAATCCTGTCAAGAAGCAGAGAAGATTAGAAAAGTAATATATTTAAACCTTGGAGGAAAGCAGGGGGCAACATAGTCATAGATATCTCCAAGTTCCTCCCCAATCTGTATACCACAAAAGTAACAGCAGTAATCAGTAACAGGGAACAAAACTGGATCTCAATTGCATGAAGCAAAAATGGTAAATTTAACAATTTACTGAAACATATCTAATGAGTAATGAATTTGTATGATTAACCAGTTAGTATAATAGACTTCAGTACTTCAAAGAATGGAGGGAGGGAGGGAGGAGGAAGGGAGAGGAGAGGGCGGCGTGTAAATTTTGATGGATTACCATTTACCAGAGAAAATAAATGATAGAATATAATTTTCAGCAGCGTAACGTGTCAACACTTAAATACAATTGTATTAAGTTAAACTCAAACAGGATTCTGGCATTTTATTTGCATGGCTAACAGCTTCAAACAGGCTCTGAAATCTGGATGGGATATAGCTTTTGTTAAGAAATGTGGTTGGGCCTAACTCAACCCTACAAAACCGGCTGGTAGAGTGAGGATTACCCCCACTTATAAACACATGTTCATGCCATATATTGTCCGATGTGGGACTCTTAACACACCCCCTCACGCTCAAGACTGGACAACTGAAGCGTGGAAATAAATGGTGGGTGGCCCAATAGCGGAAACCATAGAAGGTGGCCAACAGGATCTTAAACGAAGCTCTGATACCATGTTAAGAAATGTGGTTGGGCCTAACTCAACCCTACAAAACCGGCTGGTAGAGTGAGGATTACCCCCACTTATAAACACATGTTCATGCCATATATTGTCCGATGTGGGACTCTTAACAGCTTTAAAACTTATAAAGCCGGGGGTACCGTACCCTATTCCTTTGAGAACAAAAATGGTGACTCACTCCCAAATATATAACCTTAATTGGATTTATTTTGTAGTGAGTCAGTAATTTTACACAACTCTTTGGATGATAATAATTTTACAGTAATTTCATAAAGGAACTACGCTTTGAATATTCTTGAAGAGACGTGTTTATTGAATGCCATGCCAGTTGATACTCTTAAGGATCCAAAAGTTAAACTTCTATCCAACCAGGGGTGGCACTTTCATCTTCAGGGAGATGCAGAAAATTGGTTGGCAAATAAAACTACCTCACAGTCACCCATCCAGCCATTTCATTTGCAGTCAGTGTTGTAAGTCAATTCTTAAACACTCCTTCTCATGAACATTGGGATGTTGTGATACGAATCATGGAGGTGCACCAGAAAAAGTCTAATTTAGAAGAACAACTGACATAGTCAAGTATTTGGTAATTCAGATGTCGATTGTACAAGTTCACCCATTGATAAGTCCACTTCTGGGTATTGTGTACTTGGGGGAAACTTAATATTCTAAATAGTAAGGTACAAAACTTTTGGTTGCAAGATCATGGCATTAGTGGCTTGTGAGCTTATTTGGTAGAAACAGTTACTCAAAGAGATTAATCTGATTTTTCATTAAAGGACCAAGAATATTGATAGTATTATGGCAATCCACACTCAGTCTCTGTGATTATTTATTTCCTTTTTACTTACAGCATTAATAGGAGAGTTATTTATTTTACCCTGATTCTTAGGCCAAGATTGATCTGCAGAATCAACTCTGTATTTTTATTTATTCATCCTCACTGTACGGTTTGCATTAAGTGGAAAATACAATTCATTTTTCTACTATATTGTATACTGTCAATCAAGGTATTTAATCCTACTCTTCTGTTTTTTGGTACAAAGTTAATCCCATTCTATGACAGCACTATAGCATTATTGCATGACGGCCACGTACGGATAAATGTACATCGTGGATTGTTAATTATGAACGCACTACCATTCCACAAAACCATTTTTGGGTATACATACAAATAATAGCTTGTATGATGATCCATTTATCTAAAGAACAAAACAACAAACAATTGATATAGGCAGGGAGAAAGAGGAATAAAATTAAAAAGTTACTGAGGAAAATGCAATCATCTCAGAAGCTTAAATCCAATCAGTCTAACTTACCATTCGAGCTTCCTCTAATGCTGCTTTCAGGTCCTCAACCACAAGCTGATACATAAATGAAAATGAAATAAGTTGCATATAATAAAATGAGGAGTTATGGAGGTGTGTGTTTGAGACAATCTGAGTGTGTGCGTTTTGAAGCAGGAGACTGAAGAAAGTGTAGACCAGTAAGACTTAGTGATTACCTCATTTAGAAGTTTGGTAAATCGTCCTTCAACAGTCTTCCTAATTTGCTCGTAACACTTATCCTTATAGCCTTTCCCCTGAACCTTCAATTTTTGTGGTGTTAAATTTTTCGAAGCCGTTGCGCTTGAAGGTTTTCTGTGATTCGTTAGCATTGACAAAATTAAGTAATGACTAATGACAGAGGGGGAAAGGAGAGAATTTTCCTTTTTGCAGAACACTTTCATATGGGGGGAAAAATAGGCAGATTAGTTTTGTCGATAACATTGTATTGGAAAATGATCCTTGAATTTTCACTCTTTTTTAATCCCATACCAGAAGGACCCTAAGAAGACATTACTAATGTTATGAAATATCCACAATAAAAGTCCAGGCATAAGTGTCATATAATGTTTTCAAACCACTACCACATACAGATTTACATCTAAAAATCAAATGATTGTATTGGAAAAAGAATCAACAAATTAGTTTTATCGATAACATTGTATTTGAAAATTATCCTTGAATTTTCATTCATTTTTGCTCCATACCAGAATGACGCTACAAAGACATTATAATGTAAATATCCACAGTAAAACTTCAGGCACAAGTGTCATGACAAAACAAGCAGGCAGAATGTTTTCCAACTACAACAACATACTGATTTACATTTTAAAATCACATCACTTTTTAGTGTGTAGAATTAAAATTGCCAGAAAAATAAGGCATTGATTTGTAAAATCTAGAACCTACTATAATGCAAGGGGAAAATGGGGAACCATCCAAGTGTCAAAGACAAACAGACTAGCAAGCAACTCTTGTCTAAGAATAAAGAGAAGGTCAAAGGAATTTCACATGTCACGATGATGGCAACTATGACAGAAAATTCCAAAGAAAACAACATCACAAACATCTAATGGCCATCCCAACATGAACACAGTAGTATAAACAAACAAGAAATTTAAGGGAAAAAATTAAAAAGGGAACCGGGAACAAAACAACCAGCAATGATCAGAGAACCAGATAGGACGGACAGAGAAAGCAAACACTACTCAACTATGACAACTGTGACAGAGAAGATGACAAAGATAACAACACTGCAACCATACAAATTGCGAAGAGATAAGGCCTAGATACTGCTTATAAACTTGCTCACATCATACATGCTAGTTTTCTGCGGTAAAGTTGGGACTTAAACTCAAATTCTAAGATAGTATCAAAATATATCATATATCTGTTTTTGTGTTGTTTGAGCTTCAGTAGCTCTGGGAGTGTGGAAAAGTTCCACATCACCTAGAAATATGGCCTAAATAGAGAGCTTAGAAGGATTGAGAAATTCTCCCCTAAATCGCAGATTCTGTGGTATTCAGTTAGGCTTTAAGGTGTTCTATGTGGCAGTAACTTCCAATTGGCCTCTAAGGTGTAATTGGATGTGAATAATGTTGTCTTGAATGAGTTTTTTGATGAAGTGTATATGGAGTATCCTCAAGGGTTTGAAGCAGATAGATAACAGTCTAGTTTGTAGATAGCATAAGGCTCTCTATGAGCTTTAACTGGCTCCGAGGGCAATAAATATCATCCATCTATGTTCATTTACTTTGAATCTTTTTATATTGTTTTTGCAGGCTTGTATATATTGATATAATTCTGACATACAACTCTATTCAGCTCATTCAGCATCTTATCCATCCAATGGCACTTGAATTTTTCTATCAAGCAAATTGGAGAACTCAACTACTTTATCAGTATTAAGGTTAAGGATGTCAAGGATAGCTCTCTACTGCTTCCTCAGCCCAAATACATTTGCAACTTGCTAGAAAGATCTAACAAGGCAGAGGTCAAAAGCATCCTTTCCCAATGGTTGGAGGTTACAAATAGCCTATACAGGGAGCAGACCATTGCTCAGATGCTACTAACACGAGATCTGAAATCGTTTTTGTTTTCAACTAGGTATGCCAGTTCATGTCCCATTCTCTTACATTGGACAGAGGTCAAAAGAATTTCTTTGCTACTCTAAAATGCACTTTGACACATGGATTCCATCTCCAGTCAACATCTACATTTCCTCTGCTAATAACAGCTTTTTCTGATGCTGAGTGAACATCTGACCCCTGATGACAGGTGCTAACTTAAGAATCATGCATATACTTTGGTGCAGACTTGGTCTCTTTGTGGGCCAAAAAACAAACATTTGTTGCCAGATCAAGTACCAAAGCTCAGTACCACAGTTTAGCAGCCACAGCTGTAGAGACTGTGTGAATCCAAACTTTGTTGGGTGAATTGAATAACACTGACTCTTTCCCATAATCATATTTCACATGCGAGGACAAAACACATGGTACTTGACCTTTTTTGTTAGAGAACAAGTTATCAACAAAAGTTTGAAGGTGCTTCACATTCCCTCTCAAGATCGGTGTGCAGATTTTCTCACTAAACAGGTGTCTTCTATAAGATTTCTGCTTGAGACAAACTCAAGGTGAATGACCTCCACTCACTTGACCAATCACCTTGACCTTGAAGGGGTATGTTAGACTACAGAGTACGGGATATAGCAGGTAGCACATTCTATTCCCACGCAGCAGTTAGATCCAATTATTCATATATACAAATAGATGGTAAGGAATCCTCTTAGAAGAATTAACAACAAAAAAAGTTACAGCACGCTATCAAGCAAATCATGCATCAAGATGGCAGCTAAGGTAGTTGGTTTCGTTATTAAAGATTTTTAAGATCGCAAAAGTATCAAGGATAATGGAACTCAATTCAAACTGCTATAACATACATGGCACTTCTATGAGGATTTGTGGCTGATGCCAATGCACCATCCCCTTCAGCCTCAGCTACTTCCTCTGCAACCTGTTGATCATGGATTTCTTGCATTTCAACAACCCTAGAATAGGTAAAACATAATGAAAACTAGATTACATTGAATTTAGAAATTCCAATCATACAACCGATCATTTAAATAAAAATATAATGAAAGGAATGAGAAATGGAAATAATTTAAAATGCAATTGTCTATCAGCAACATACCGTAAAGCACGAACCAAAGTTTGTGGGCTGCAAACACAAGGAAAAATAAAATAAGATAAAATAACATGATTAAAATAGAGAGAATTGAGGATAATACCACAATCACAGTATAAAATTCATGCCTAACAATGCAATGCATCAAAGAGTGCTCATAAAATTTGGGCTTAAGGACTAACTCACTCCAATAACCAGTAAGGATTGCCGAGACCTTATAAAGGCTACATAGGCCATATCTCTAGCCGATGTAGAAATCTCATGCTCATGACTATACATCTAAAGTGAGGATAAATGAGAGAGGAATAACAAGATAACACAACCTTTCACGGTCAGGACTGAACATCTAGAAGATGGTAAAGATGTGAGTGCAATAGTTGAGACATTAGCCAAATAACTAATTTGAATTTGAAATAGATTTTGTTACCATCTTAGAATTTGGACTTAAGACTTAACTCATCTCACAAAACCAAACTTTATGAAGGCTACCTAGGCCATATCTCTTGTTGGAATTTCCGCCGTCATTGCGTTCCGCCCTTAGTCACATAAATTGCGGCATTTGCCTTGCCTTCGTTGCAGCATCCAACACATTCATTGTGTTGGGTTTGAAAAGGTGGATTTAGTCTCACATTGCTTAGAGATATGGCTTGAATTGTGTTTATAAGTATAGGCAATTCTCACCTTACAAGTTGGTTTTGTAGGAATGAGTTAGGTCCAACCCACACATTTTAAGATGGTATCAGAGCCTATCCTAGATCACTTATTGGGCTTTCCGCATCGTCCACACTTCGAACTCATTGAAGCCCTAGCGTGAGGGGGTGCGTATGAATTTCCACCTTCATAGCAGTCCTCCCCTAGTCGCCTAAATTGCAGCATTTGGTTTGCCTTCATTGCAGCCTCCAACACCTTCATTGCGTTGAGTTTGAAGGGGTGGATTTAGTCCCACATTGCTTAGAGATAAGTCATGTGTTGTGTTTATAAGTGGGGGCAATCCTTACCTTACAAGTCGGTTTTGTAGAGAAGAGTTAGACCCACCCCACACATTCTAATATCTCTAGCCAATGTTGTATAACACATCTTCTCACACTCGTGAAAGTACATCCAAAGCGTGAACAAATATGGGAGGAATACCAAGGATCTAAATACGGGGCTAAAGGAATTCAATATAGATGAAACGTGTAATCTAGCAAGCATCATACTCAAATGTGTGTCAACCTAAAATCTACAGAAAAAACAAAACTTTCGAATCTTAAATAGCACTCAATTGATAAAAGTTCAAGCACTTTCGTAGTAAAACAACAAGCAACATTATTTGACGCATTCATATTCAAGACATGAAACAAACCTTTCTTTAGAAAGTTTATAGAAATTGGCAACATGATCCCATAGTGTCTTCTCAAAATTCTCCCATGTTCTATCTACATCTTCAAAATATTCCCTAAAATAAATACAAGAATAAGATGTTAACAATAGATGCCGTTAGAAATTAAGTCCAAAAATAATTGCGGTTGGATAGTGTATAGTATTGTCAAAGAGTCCATTGGACTACCTGCTATCAGGTTTCCGCTATCGGACCACCCAACATTTATATCCATACACCAAGCACAATAAAGCTGAGCGTGAGGGGATATTTTAAAGAATCCCCGCATCGAATAAAAATATGGGCAATCCTCACCTTACGAATGTTTAAAAATGAAGAAACCGCCAATTAAGAACACTAGTGGGTCAATGCATAATTATAAATGAGGGATTGCGCATATTGAAATTTACTCCAAATTATGTGGTTACCCCCTCCAGGGTTCTCACAAAGCTGGTGAATGGGGCAACAGAACTTAATTAGACACAAACCTTAGCCTTCCAACTTCTTCCTTGTGAGATGCTGCTGCTGCTAATGCAAACCTTCGCTTTCCATCCAAAGCTGTTAACCTCTGCAAAATAAAAAAATTTAAAGATATTATGGTAGGTCAGCTATAGTTAAAAGGGGATATTTTATGAGAGGAGCGAATAGGCTAGAGTGGGAGAGGTTATAATCAAATAAAAGAATGAATAAATGTAATTGAATGATAGAATAGAATAGAATAGAATGCATATGAGGGAAAGATGTGGAAGCCATTATTCATCAGCTATAGTTAAAAGGGGATATTTTATGAGAGGAGTGAATAGGCTAGAGTGAGACCAGCCTAACCTCGTAAGTATTGACAATTTCTTTGTCATCAGTCAAAGAATCCCGAGCCTCCGCTGCCTCGACAGAGATGGACATCATACCTTCAACATCCTATCAGAAGACCAAAAAGTCAGCAAAAAACCATAAGAGAGATGAAGTATGACCCATATAAGTGCAACTAGAATCCAAGTTCAGACCATGTTTACTAAAAACTGTGGTATCAATTTCAGTCTACCATTGATAGATTAATTAAATTATGAACCTTCAACAAAGTGAAAGCAACACTTTAGACAGAAACACTCAATACAGAACTGCATTTAACCATAACTCAACAGGAGATAAAGTGAGAGAAAATAACCCATTTTGTTATAATTGTAGGTGATAAGCTCAGTCCTACAGGAAAAAACAGGGAGGGGAAGTTCTATAACATCTCTTATGACTATGAAGTAGAATGAGTGTGAGACTAGCATTCTCTTAAACAATAATTAAGGGTTAGATTAAAGAAAGAAAAAGCACCTTCAAGGTTGTGTTTAAGTTATTTCTTGCATTGCTAAGTATCTTTATCTGGTCATGGTTGTCAATTAATGTTTGGCATTCCTGACATAAACTGATGCACCAGGAAAATCACAGTAAGCTAAAAGAGAAAAATATTATAAGTGTGAGTTTATAAAAGAGAAAACACCCACTCTCAAAAAAGTCAAAACAGTTTCAGTCTATCTCATTAACATACTTCTCAATGGAGATAAAGTTTTCCCGAAGCTGATTTATTGTCTTCTCAGAAAAGGAGAGTGATTTCAGTCCTGCGTGTGACTGCTCAACCTGCAGTAAAGTGTTTTCAAGCAAATCATGAAAAGATATGAGATTGTGGTGCCCGAGTTGATTAAATATAAAGTTCAGCTGAGTGTACAATGCAATTCATGTTTAGTGGCTAGAGTCTAGACTTTAGACATAAAAAATGAAACAGTAATCTCACAAATACTACCAACCATGCCATCTTCTGTTATTAGAGTTAAATATCTGCTGTCCAAGTTTTGAGATATTTTGAATATAAACTTCCCTTCAGTTTAGGTGCAAGGTAGTTGTTGCTTGTTACCCATCATTAGTCTATGTTCACCAGTATTTGCCAAAGGAGGAGTGATAATAACAGAGCCAGTGGATTCTTTAGAAGTTAGATCATGTCAGTCTTTTGCTCTCATAGACTGGTGAGAGCATCTTTTTTCTTTGGTATTAACCTATTTATCATCTATATTAGTTCATTACAGACTCCTTAATTCAGAAAATCTGCCCATAACATTATGGAAACAGTTACTTGCTTTTCTATCTATACTATTTACTGATAATAGCTGCCGAGAGTTTTGAATAAAAACAAATGTACTAAAATTAGATAAACTTCCTTATCAGTGAGTTAACTTTGCAATTATAAAAAGCTTTTCAGTCAATGACACACTTTTGAACAATTTGGAAACAATAGCATTTTCCAACTAGACGGGGTCAGTCAGTTACATGAATTAAATGAAACTACTGTGTTTTGTCAAAAACTTTTCAGAAAACAAAATAAGGTATAATCCAAACATTCACACTGACTTTGCAGATGATGCACAACATTTTGCAACAATAAGGTTTGCAGTTACTAAAAGGTTAAACTCTTTCAATAACATGCAACTAACCAGATAATATTTAGTTGATCAAAAGGAAAGAACTTACCTGCTCTGCGACCATTGTACTAAGCTGTGCGTCATTGGCCTGAAAATAATTGAAAGAAAAACACTCAGAGGCAACAAAACTTTTGTATAAAATAGCTGCAACAATAATAAATTATTGAGAGATACAACAAACATATTTATCTAATAATTGTAAGTGTCATTACAGACACTCCAAACAATAAAATTATTACATATTTGCTATAAGCTATATAAATAAGCCATGGCTATAACGCTCGAATAGGTAATCAATCAACTCAAGAGGGATATTGAGTCGTCACTTAGCTATTGGTCAAACAACATAAATTAAATAACTAATTAAATATCTAATGAAAACTGAAAAAACACAACATAAATATAATTGTCGGAATTTTAAATTAATTATAATCTAAGAAAAACTTGTGACACAGCTATCAAAAAAAATTCTAAATTTCATTTAGAAAACGGTTAATCAAAAACATGATAATTTACAATCTGATACTTTGATAGAATTGGTTTTTCAGTGAGGTAATTACTCCAACATCCTTTTCTATTTTGATCATCTAACAGAAAACCCTTTATTTCTAAAACCTAAACAAAACCCATCCTATTTTATATACTATATGAACCACGGACATAGACACGGACATCAAACACGACACCAACATAGACATGTCGACACCAGTAATAATTTGAAAAAAAATAATAAATCGAACGTAATTTCAAGTGTCGTGTCATGTCGGTGTCACTGATACGGACATGCCTTTTTTCCATAAGTGTCAGTGCTACATATATGTTACACTTCGATACACATTTGCTCTTTTTCTGTCAAATAGAATAAAAAACTCTTACAGCATATTTGGGTTGTTATGCATTATAATTTCCCTTGTTACAGTAAAAAATTTGGAATCATTAAATATCTGTTCTGTAAAACTTTAAGATTATATTAGAATAACACACGAATAAACAAGAAAATTCTAGTTTCATATCTTCAAAATAACAAGAAATTTATTAGAAACTATTGGGATGAAAAGTTATAAAAACCTAATTACGTGAATTACTAATAAAATAAATCAAAATTAATTTCTTAGAATCAATTTTGCAAGAATCGAATGATATGAAGAATCTGGTTGAAATTTATCCAAACATGATCTTAGTATATAAAATAAATAAATAATTGCAAAATAATAATCTATTTCTTTAATACTTTTCAATATATATTAACTACTTATCATTCAATTCTAGGAATCCTAATACATTGATTTTAATTCATCTTACTATTATTTTATATGACAATTTTATGAAGTTTTTTCATTGCAGTAATTTTAAAATGATTCTCTGTTTTGAAGATACAAAACTATAATCTCCTATGTTTCTCTGATGTTACTACTATAGTAGTTTTATATATTCTAGGGAAATCATTGAAGTTTACTTTTATGATTATCTTCTAAAGTTTAGGATAGTCAATAATTTTGGCACTCAATGATTTAAATGTTATTTTAAAATAAAACAAAAACTATTTTGTGTTTGTTCACCATATTGAAAATCCTTTTACTAAATCGCCGATCGAAAATGATTTTTTATGAGAAACTACTGAAAACAGCTGTTAATTTAATGCAGTTGCGTAGATGATTAATATATTCACTTTCTTTTAATTGTAACAAACGTAAAAAAAAAATTTTAAAAAAAAAACTCCTAAAAGTGATTCAAGTATGAGCACTCCAAAACTCATGCCATACCCGGTACTAGAACATGTAGTGTTACACTTCCTAATAAAGTTGCAATTGATTTTTGTTCTGTATGCTGCCCAAGCAAGGCAAACAGCCTGTCCTCTAAACCATCTACCATTGTTTATGAATCTCCTTTGGAATTGGAATTAATCAAACGTTTTAAAGCTTGTGCTAAATCACAATACAAAACTAAAACCAATCACTTCAAACAAATAAGTGACGGCGGGGGCATATATTTCACCATCTTTCAGAAATAGTTAGGCATCAACTATAGACTTAATCATAAGTTGTTTCCATAATTTGTTTCAAGCACATACACAAGCCTTATATCATAACAGTGTTGCTGATGGCGGATGACGGTCCATGGCAGAGAGCCAAAATCTCACCATACAGGACGCTTTGTGGCGCCGTTATAACGGATTATGGCGGAAAAACTCGCAGTATTGGCCGATATTTACCATAGCGGTGAGCCCGAAAACCGCCACGGATATCCAACATAGCAGCCATGGCGCCGCTATTTGATAAAACTGTATCATAAAGATATAAACTTCAATAAACTCTTTCAAATATGCCCCCATGGTCTTCATATATATATAAGGCTAGCTTTAGTGCAGAATCCTCTCACTATTCAGTGTTATTGTATATCAAAAATTAAGAATAAAATCCATCCCTTCCTTAAAATTCTATTGTCTAGAACTCTCAGTTATAAATTTAGATGAGCCCCTGGCTTCATCTCCTACCTGACCAATACAAAGTGTTCAGTGTTGACATTCTCAGATTGTAAAAATTAGTGATTTGTACAAACGATGACATGCAGGGCTATAGTCGCTATTTGGCAATGCAACAACACTCAGGCTTCATTCCATTAAGTAGGGTCGTCTAGATAGATTAAACAACACCACGATGTTCAGTCATATATCATGTATCTATCCGACTCATTAATCTCTAGGTCTTTCTTAACCGTTTATCAGATAGTTTTTCTAAATTTTTCTCTACCGTATATCATGTATCTATCCGACTCATTAATCTCTAGGTCTTTCTTAACCGTTTATCAGATAGTTTTTCTAAATTTTCCTCTACCTATAACTATTTAACAATACTATGCACTAATTCGTGTATCTTGAAATAATAGTGGTTTGCCAAATTTATGGTACACTATTGTGCTGTGGCAGCTAATTGACAACAATGTAAGCGTCTACCTTTTGATAAATCAAAAACCACAGCTAAGACTAACAAATATCCAGTCCAAAATCGGAATCAAATTGAAGGCAAACAACTATCACAATAGACACAGCACACATCCTCTATGTTTAGATTGACGGACTAGAACGGAGCAGAACAGAATGGAACATGATGAAATGAAGTTGAGTAGAGCGGAATGGAACATAGATTCATTCCATTGTTTGTGTATTTTTTATAATTTGACGGAATGAAATTAAACAAATTAGTTCATTCCATTCCAAATTGGAGGAATGAAAATTGAAAGATTGAATGGAATAGGATGGAATGGATTCCATCATGCTCTATTCCGCTCCATCCAATTATTTGTAAATCCAAACAATAGAATCTGAGTATATACTTCTTCATTCCATTCCATTCCATTATATTCCATCAATCCAAACATACTATATCGATAGCTCCAAGCAGCTCAAACCGAAGCTCGAAAATATCAAAACACTAAATCAGAAATTCAAGCAAGCACAGAAAACAGCAAATTATATAAAAAAATAACAAAAATATAAAGAAACTGAATCAAATAGATCTGATACCTGTTGACGTGAAACGTAATCAGCTTTGATCGATGCAATTGAATGAAGAAGCTCCGGGAGAGGTAACAGCTTCGCAACCTCGCGAACAGATGCTTCCTTCGCTTCCACACCGAGATCCTCGGCCATCATCATGTTTTCACGGAAACAAGCAAATTACACAGATTAACAATTCTTCAAGGATGTGGAGATTTTCGAGTTCGTGCGCGCGAATTTTTTTTCTGGTGATTCTCGGAAACTCGAAATGAGCGAGAAATTGAGCAGAATTTTGTGAGAATTGAACGCAAGATCGAAGCGTTTGCTCTGAGAGAGAGAGAGAGAGAGAGAGAGAGAGAGAGAGAGAGAGAGAGAGAGAGAGAGAGAGAGAGAGATGAACTGCCAATGTGAAGAACAAATTGGTCAGAAATTGGGCGTGGCTGGCAACTGGCGAGGATAGAAAAGTAGTTTAGTTGATGAGAGCAGAGATGAATATTCTTAGGATGAATTTTGATTTTTATTCTTATAATTTAATTTTGTTGATTTTTATTCTTATAATTTAATCTTGTTGATTTTTTTCGTGTAATTTAATTTTGTTGATTTTCTTTTATATTTTTCAATTTTGAGGTACGTTAATTTTGCTGATACTAAAATAAGACTAATTATTGAATGAAAATAGCATTGCATGATTGGATTAATATATCCACTATATTTCATTTGACTTATTTATATTCATTTATACTATGTAACAGTTAAATTTATATTATCTTTTTTATACAAATGTCCGAAAACAAATAAACTACACCACACTGGCGCGGAACAAAATCTCCCATTAAATCATTGTTTTCAAGATGTTTTATCCAATTAACACAAGAATCAAAAGAAACAAAAATCTTCATTAATCTTTAAATTTTTTTTCAAGAGTATTCGCACAGAAGTTCTCTTTTTTAAATATATGTCGGACCAGAACGATCCAATTCATATTAATGTATTCTTTGATTTTTCTAGAGTATTTCTGATAGAGTTCGTCTTATTGATATTATTTATCTCATTAACTATTTCAATGGCACTCACACCAATTCTCTTAGCAATAATTAAACCTTTTAGGACTTTTCAAAGTTCAGCAACTAATACATCAAATGTTCTCAATTTCTTAAAAACCAATTAACTACTAGTCATTACTATCTCTAACTAAATTGCCACACCCCCCCCTCTGCCATCAACATCACACGCACCATTCGAGTTTAGCTTCATCGACCCCTCATTATGATAATGCCAACTAATTCATCTCGCCTCTTTGCAAGGATCTGTGATGTTATTAAGAAACTTGTAAGCCATTTGATAATCCTTGATACGATTACAAATTGCTCCCATAAGATTAATCGACCTAGAAAATTGTTCATTATGCTCTTCTTTATTTCTCCAGCTCCAAATGCAATAACATGCTACTGCCCACGGAACATTCCATCTACTATCATCTTTCCATCTAATGTTTATGTGAATTCATTGCTCCAAGTTACATCAGATTTTTTTTGTGCCAATTGGTATTCACCAATAACCAACCAAACTTGCATAACCATAGGGCAGTCCCTAAAAACATGAAGAGTATCATCTTCTACGTTTCCATAAAACCTGCACATATAGGAGGCAAGACCCATCCTATTCTTGTTTCTGCTGGTGAGAAGTCTATCACGATGAAGAAGTCAAACAAAGCAACGAATCCTTTCAGGAAAAGGAAACTGACACATTTTCTTCCATTTTTTATCAAGACGACCTTGATTATTATCGAGGACCATATGCATGCTTGCAACTTAAAGTTCCCTTGATTCATCCTCACAACCACCAACAACATCAACTCCATAGTTCTCATTAGGCGGGATAATGTTGATCATCATATCTCTAACATCAAAAGGAATCTACGAGTTTAACATATTCCAATTCTAGCCATTCTTGCCATCATGTAAGTCTACAACCTTTGCTTGATGCAGCGACACAGGGATAGTACCATCTAAATCTTTGATTTTGAGCCCTAAAGATATCCAACTATCATTCCATGTATCGAACAAATGCTTCATTCGCTTCCACATCGAGATCCTCGATCATCGTCATGTTTTCACAGAAACAAGCAAATCACACAAATTAACAATTCTCCAAGGATGCGGGGATTGTTGAGTTCGTGCACATGAATTTTATCCTAGGGGATTCTCAGAAACTTGAAATGAGCAAGAAATTGAACAGGATTTTGTGAGAATTAAATGAAAAATTGAAGTGTTTGCTTGTTGCTGACTTGAGATTTAGAAATGAGAGAGAGAGAGAGAGAGAGAGAGAGAGAGAGAGAGAGAGAGAGAGAGAGAGAGAGAGAGAGAGAGAGAGAGAGAGAAAGAGAGATTTGGAACTGCCAATGTGAACAACAAATTAGTCAGAAATTAGTTGTGGATGGAAAATGGTGAGGATAGACGAGTAGATTAGTCTATGAGAGCAGGGATGAATATTGTAAGCATAATATTAATTTGATACTTTTTCGTATAATTTAATTTTGTTGATTTTTTTATGTCTTTCAATTTTGAGGTGTGTTAATTTTGTTGATACTAAAATAAGGCTAACTATATGGTGCATAGATGAAATAATATCTATAATAATAAGTTGTGAAAATGTCATGTGTGCCCTTACCTATAATTTTGATACATCCTCAAAATGAGGGCAAATTGAGTCTAAAACTTACTTTTTTTTAACCAAACTAGCTACATCAACCGATTTGTTTTCTATTTCTTCTACTTTCTTTCAGTTATGTAATGATGAGAACCTGATTTTAGTCTAATTGGTTCTAAACCAACTACTGTTATCCTATTTTTTCAACTTCTTTCTTCTACCAATGTATCATCACATCAGAGTTGTATTTAACTTAGCATTTCTCTCTTTCATATTCAATTGGGTTTTCGAAACCCTCTCACGCTCCACTTATTGGCTCTACATTTCTTCTTCTCCACAGGATTTCTTCATCTCTCTCTTTTTTATGAAAATGATTCATCTCTCTTTCTTCCAACTTCTTCTTTGAACATAAATCTCACCCTCATCTATCTTGCAAACAAAAATCAAAATCATGGATCAAAGTGAAATCGATAAGGAGAAAAAGGTATCAATCAAAATAAGGGAGACAATTGCAGATCTAGCAGTTCCGACGGTTTTATGGCGGTGTGTGGTTTCGAGGTGGTAGATTTGTGATGGTGGCAACAACACATTTTCGACAACGAGTTTGGTGGTGGTCGGATTCTAAATGGTTTTGCAAGACTTTTTCAGTTTTCTGCAAACTTCATTATGATTCTTTGCATCCCTTTTTAGTATTGCTTTATAGTTTCATTTACTTTTCTTTTTTTTTGGCTTTTAGTAGTTTTGAGTGAAAAACACCTTGCCACTTGAATCCAACTAAGTGGAAAATATTGGTAAAGCTTTTACTTTTCATGATTTATGTTTCATCTTTTCTTGTGTGAAGAATCAAAAGCTTGACTATTTACACTATTGATTTTCTAAGATTTGTTGAATGACTACATTATATTCATTTTTCTTCTTTTGTTTTTTATGATGAGTTTGTTTTCCATCATGCTTAAAATACACAATTTTAGAAGCAGGTGGAATGGGAAAAAGCATATAGACGAAGATCTTTAATCTCATCATTGTTCTTAGCTCTTCGAGTATTCAAATCGAACAAGCTCAGGAATTTTGTGTTTTAGGGGTGCTCTTCAAGCTTCTGAATCTTGTAATAGGTGAAATCTTTGTTTTCATTCTTTTTTTCAATATTTTTTTGTCAATCTCTTCATGATTTGCAAATACTTTCACTTTAATATGTTGCCCTCATTTTGAGTCTAATATATTCTTTGTTGATTGTAGTGGATCTTAAAGATTTCACAAAGTTTCTAAACATTTCCTCTTTAATGAAGCTATGAAGAATCTTTTGATAACATTCTATTAGAGAGTGAATATAATTGGAAGCTAATTAAATTTTTTTAATATTTTGAATGGGAGTGGATAACATTTAGCTTATTTTAGTTATGAATAATTTTCTAGATTAAACCAATTCAAAATTAGTTCTACCACTTAAAACACACACCCTGACAAATGCATAATTAAGCTTAAGGAGGTTGATGTGATTTTTTAACTAAAATTGATTATATTTGAGGGAAATATTTAGGTTTATCTTGCAAGATGGTTCATTGCATGCTGATACACGACTTAAAGCTTTGGAGGAAAAGGTATTTGAAGTCCCTTTTACTTATTTTGGTTGGTTGATTATATAAGATAAGATTTCCATTTTTCTTGTTTGTAACGACAGCTCAGTTATACGACACAAGAATCCATCTTATTTTTTAGACCAAAGTGGTAGCTAGGCCGAACAAAGATAAGTTGTGGAATCCCATATATGACATGCAGTTATGAAGTTGTAACACAATATATTCTATAACTTAATCAAAGATAATTAAACAGACATCTACCTCAAAAGCTGACCTTGCATGAAACTGAAAAAACAAAACAAAAAAATAGTAATAAAATAATACTTGTAAAAATAAATTGTCATAGAAATTTTTTTTTTGAATATTAAAAAAAAATATGTTTTAAAGAGAAAATCAATGAAAGACTTAACCAACTCCAATACTTGAAGAACCACTATCCAAAAATAGCCAAAGTCAAAGAAAAATAGATATCTACATCTAGGTTCATAAACCTATACAAAATGATACAAACATTTATAATATTATTATTTTACATTTCCTATAGTTTAAAAACAATATAAAAATAAATTTAACAAATCTCACATGAATAATCCAATAAGCTTGTGCAAAGAATCTTGAAATACCTAGAGCAAATAAATAATATCTCGTGAATGGTTCAACCACCTGAAAATAAAAACTTGTCAGAATTATTTACAACATAATTTGATGTTTGTTCATCTTCTGCATAATCTTTATTATATATTTATAAAAGATAATAGTATAACAAAGTTCTAAAGTGTTTAACCTTTGCATTTTGCATTTAACAAATTTGTTGAAGTACTGAAACGGTTTCGACATACATAGTGAATGTGAAAACAACTCGAACAAGCCATACATGAGGTGAATGTAGATTCACTAGAACTGCTAAAATTGTAGAAGGCACAACCTAGTACA